ATGAAAAGAAGGACGTGATGTCAACGTTCTGATATCTTAGGGGCTGCCCCAAAGAAGAGGGAGTCAAGCTATTCTCCAAAACACCTGAAAGGCTGAACAAGGAGCAATGGATGGAAACTCATCAAGGAGAAAAGCAACTTAGAACTAAGGAGACATTTCCTGAGAGTGAGAACAATGAATCAGTGGAACGGCTTGCTTCCAGAAGTTGTGAATGCTCCAACACTGGAGGTTTTGAAGAAGAGGTTGGATAACCATTTGTCTGAAGTGGTATAGGGGGTTTCCTGCCTAGAAGACCTCCAAGGTCCCTTTCAATTCTGTTATTCTATTCTATTTAGAGACCAGAATATGTATCCCTCCAGCGTTGAGACAGAGGGTGCTCCAACTGCCTGATTTAGAACAAGACCCAGCAAAGATGACCCATGATACTCCTTCTGAATTCCAGGATTTTTATTTATTTATTCATTTGATTTGATTTGTCAATCGCTTACAAGATAACATGTATAAGTATAAACATAGTTATGAATACATGAAATGGACACATATAAGAAAAATAAAAAGAAACAATAGGACAGGGACGGTAGGCACGTTGGTGCGCTTATGCACGCCCCCTACAGACCTCTTAGGAAAGGGGTGAGGTCAATAGTAGACAGTCTAAGGTTAAAGTTTTTGGGGTTTGGGGAAGAAACCAGAGAGTCAGGAAGAGTATTCCAGACATTGACCACTCTGTTGCTGACGTCGTATTTCCTGCAATCAAGTTTGGTGCGGTTAACCTTGAGTTTGTATCTATTGTGTGCTCTTCTATTGTTGTCATTGAAGCTGAAGTATTCATTGACAGGTAGGACATTGCAATATATAATTTTATGTACTATACTTAGATCAGACCGAAGGCGGCGTAGTTCTAGGTTTTCTAGGTCTAAAATTTCAAGTTTGGTGGCATAAGGTCTTCTGCAACGAGTAGAGGAGTGGAGAACTCTTCTTGTGAAATATTTCTGGACTTTCTCAACTGTGTTAATATCAGATACGTAATGGGGGTTCCAGACTGATGAGCTGTATTCAAGTCTATTTGGTCTAGCAAATGTTTTGTACGCTCTAGTTAGTAGTGTGCAAAGAAGATGACCCATGATACTCCTGAATTACAGGGTGTTCTTTATTGGGGATCTTGGCCCTAATTCCTTGCATACATTCTGCTTATTTTGGAAGGCTTCCATTTGAGAAGAAAGACTTGTAAAAATATGATTTTTCCATCCTTTCCAACATCAGTGAGTATGAAGGATAGCGCGAACTTGATAAGTCCAGATGTATGTCCAGGTAGTCCTGGACATACGACCACAATTGAGCCCAAAATTTCTGTTGCTAAGAGAAACAGTTGTTAGCTTAATTTCGCCCTGCTGCATGACCTTTCTTGCCACCGTTGTTAAGTGAATCACTGTAATTGTTAAGTCAGTAATGTGATTGATAAGTGAATCTGGCTTCCCCATTGACTTTGCTTGTCAGAAGGTCGCAAAAGGGGATCCCATGACCCCGGGACACTGCAACCGTCATAAATATGAGTCAGTGGACAAGCATCTGAATGTTGATCACTTGGCCGTGGGGAGGCTGCACCAATCACTATCATTGTAACTTCAAACAGTCATTAAGCAAATGGTTGCAAGTCAAGGATTACCTCTACCTCTTGGGAATCAACTTTAAGTCAGCAACGGATGCCAAAATAGTCAACATTCTTTCCAACATCCCATCCAAATCTTAGATCGTTTCATTTTGGTAAAATTTTGATAAACGATATAGGGCATATACAAAAAAATGGAGATGGTCAAAGCACATGAGGGAGACCCGGGAGATGATGGAAAGACCACATCAAAGTCACCACATCAATTAATAATGGTTGAAGCCATCAGAGGCACAAGAACTTTGTGTCTCCCTTGACAGAAGAAGAAGAGAGAAGAAGAGAGGAGGAGGAGGAGGAGGAGGAAAAGGAGGAGGAGAAAAAGGAGGAGGAGAGGAAGGAGGAGGAGGAGAAGAAGAAAAAGGAGGAGGAGAGGAAGGAGGAGGAGGAGGAGGAGAAGAAGGAGGAGGAGAGGAGGAGGAGAAAGAGGAGGAGGAGGAGAAGGAGGAAAAGGAGAAGGAGAAAAAGGAGGAGGAGAGGAAGGAGAAGGAGGAGGAGGAGGTGGAGAAGAAAAAGGAGGAGGAGGGAGAGGAGGAGGAGGAGGAGAAGGAGGAGG